GAGCGGTCCCATACAAATTATTTTCGCCTTATTCGATTTAAGTGAGGTTTGAAAGATCATCAATTTTCTGACAACAGTGGACTATAGGGGGTCTTTCCATCTACAGAAAGATGCAAAAATCTGAGCAAAAATGTTTCTTCTGTTAGCCGACTTCTAGAAAGTTTCTCCACTGACAGAGGGTTTTGCGATAATTTCACACAAACACAAAATTCACACGTTTACCCCCGTAAGTGTACGAATGGATATTCACACACCTGCAAGTGTGCGACATTCACACACTTGCGTTTCCAGTTAAGTCGTGCGTCGCATAACAATTGTTTGCGATTCCCACTATTTATTGCTCCTAGGATGCGATGACTCGTTATTGCAAATAAAATGGAATCTATTTTATAAGAAGAATATTGTAGTAATAAATATAGCGAGAACTTTTGGTTGCAAAACCTCAATGGGAACATAGTAAGCATCATTGCACTATGTAGTCTTTTATAAAGTTGTGTGCATGCTGTTTCTAAAGTGAGCACGGCTCACTGTATATAATGTGCCAGGGCTACGACACAACAGTGTTGCGGGTTTGCATACCCTATGAGCCATGGCGCCTTGCGGGTGGAGCGACTAGGCAAACCCGCATACTGTTGTGTTGTGTCGTGGCTCCTGACGGACACACGGTACGTTGGTACGGGCCAGACACGGAGCGCGCTTGGCGGTGTTGGACCGACGGATGGGGGCCTCTCTGCCAAGGAGGTCTGGGTATAAACCGCAAGATCGAAGCCACAGGATCTCCCCGCCCTTGTCCACTGGCCGTCGTCGGTACCGCGACACAGAGTACGCGACCGCCCCTCGCCACATTTCCTTGTTCCGTTCATTCCATTCGCATCGACTTGGAAGTTCAGAGGAGACGTGCGTCACTCCTCAAGCTACCTGCCTCCTGGCGCACGCTCCCTTTGCGCAGACTCATTTCATCAGTTGATCCTAAAGAGCTGTGGCGTCGTGTCCAGTTTAAACCTTGCAAAATTGCCAAGATTTTAACTGTGTGGCAGAGAGGGGGTGGTCTTCTGTGGTCTTATGGTACCGGGAAGAGACCAAACAGGGTCGTGGGCACTATCAAACAAACATAGAGTGAGATATCAGGTACGTTTGCCTGTGGATATTTTTAAAAGGGAAAGGTAACTAGGCTACTATGCAATTAATAAATGAGGTTTTATCCTCCAGAGGTGTGACTCGCCCATTCTAAAGCATTCAATCGGGCGCACGATGACTACTACTCGGTTGCCATTTTCATTTATATCACCCGGTAATGAGATTGCACACGGCATGCTTAATGCTGCAATAAAGCTGTCATAAAAGTTGTGCGTAACAGATATCGGGGTCTGCGGGGGTAGCGGGGGAAGCGGGGGCAGCGGGTCCACAGCCTAAGGGCTCCGGCAGCGAGGCCCCTCACGCCCCGCCACGCCACGCCACACTCTCACGTCCTGATGTCCTGATACAGTTCGGCACGGGCGCGGCGCCCACTTGGACCGGGCGCCCTAAAACGTCACGTGTGGCCGTGCTCTGTCTTTGTCACTCTTGAGAGCGTGGGTGAGGGGGTGGGGTGGGGGTGAAAGGGTACGGTGGGGAGAGGAGGGGGAGGGGGCAGGACGCCGCGCCGTCCGCTCAGCACTGGTGGCTGGCTGGCTGCATGGGGCGCTTTAGAGTATGATTTACGAGATCAGGTTCGGACAGAGCGAGA